GCTTTCTAATCTCAGTTCTGATTTAGAAAGGGCTCCGTGTAGAGGCCTGTTTCCAGAGGGCTCACCCTGTTAGCAGTGACTAAGCAGTCCACCTTCCTTTGGCTAGACTGAGAATTTATGCACTGAGAAGAATCCTGGCCCAGCCTGCTCACCTTCCCTAGGCACCTGGTCGTCAGGGATTATCAATCAGGAATGTTCTCCATCCTTTCTACAAGCTATATTCAAGCTTGGGGTTGCTAAGTTATGTAGCCTGCCATAATGTGTTTCATAGTCATTCATCTGGGTGGTCAGTCTGGTTTTTTTTGTTTGTTTGTTTTTGTTTTTTTAGTGGCTTCTCAAAAACACTTTCTAGAAATGAAATTAATACCTTTCCCTAATGGAAGGGATCGTGTAGACTCTGGGTGCCCCAAGCATCTGTTACAAAAACCATGACAGCAGTGTGGTGGATAGCCAGCCAGATCAAGAGGACTGAAAGAGAGGCAACAGGGAAGCACTAGAGGTCTGGGGTAAAAGAAAAAGGTGAATGGGGGTAAAAGAGGCAGGACATTAGGGGAAACAAAAACCCAAAGGGAAAGAGCCCAGCGATTAGCATAGGAAGATTAAGAGATAGTCGATAAGTAAGCTGAAACTGAAGGATAAGAAAAACAAAGGCATTTGAAGATAAAGAAAGCTAATGGGAGTGATAAAGAAGAAGAGGTGTACAATGAAAGATAATGTTCCTAAGTAATTCCTCATGGCCTAGATACTCAAAGGCAGGCTAGCGCCTCCGCCAGAGGGCGTGGTCTCTTGCGCAGACTCGCCTGTCTCTTGTGAGTGTAGCTTCTCATGAAAGAGCCCTTTTCCCAGGCCAAGGGTTCTTCATCTTATTTGTGCCATGGTGCCCTTTGGCAGTCTGACACGCTTTGAGGACCTCAGAATGATATGTTTAAATGTTTGAAATGTAGTAATGTATGACTATAATACAAATTTTAGTGAGATAATTATATATAATATATAAAATAGTGTGACCTACCCATTGTCCTTATAACAAGGTCTAGTAGTGCGACTAACGGCTACCATCCTTTTGAAGTAGGGATGAGCACAAATGCTGTGAGATCACAGTACCGACTGTATTATGATATAAAGATATCTGAATCATATTGTTGAGTAAACTGCTGGTTCTGACACTGCATTTGGAGTTTGTGGCCTGCATTTATAATAAAATGAAGTGCCAAATGGTCACTCGTTGGCAAATAAATATGTGACTTTTTTTCCATTCGAGGCAATGGAGCCCATGAATTCTATGGATAAATGCCTTGGAGGCCTGTGTCCCTAAGAACTCCAGAGTAGGGTGACCATGTAGTTTACTGTCTACTGCTGGGATACTTTTGAGGATGAAAGGAAGCCTAGTTGTTACCCTAAAAAACAATAGGTGTGACTTGGGACAGGCCTGGGCACACTGTAACCTAGGTCCTGTTAGCAGCTTTTTCCCTCTTTAAGATCTTTCTCCCCGACCAGTTTTCACTTCTTTGGCCCAAGGGATTGGCTCTCTCTGCCTTATTCATAGGGATGATGGTTATGGATACTAAAGGGATAGGAAGTGGAGAATAATAGTTTCAGCTGAAACAGGGTCACATGTCAGGGCCACAGACAGGCCATGGGATGCTTTTGTAAGAACTGGAAAACGGGCTTCATCAGAGCAGCCTCAGCCTCTGGCTCCTGGCTGGGCGATCACTGGCCTGCGCTTCAGTTTCCAGTGGCCGCGGTGGCCAGATGCCCTGTTGCCTTGGTCAATTTCACCTGAAGTGAGGTTGAATTATTGGACTACATTGCATTTCAACCAAAAGTTTTAACTTCCTCTCCAACATTACTTATTGATTGATTGACTGATTTTTCAAAGCAGAGCTGCCACAGTGGCTTTTAAAGGTTAACTGTCTTCCCCTGCCCACTTCCTAGTTTCAGGAAATGGCCTCAGTGCAAGCAGGTGGATAGAGAACCATGGGAAAAGGCCAGGATCTAGAAGATTCTTAAGCTGGGTAATAAGGCCTTGAGTGATAAAGAGGAGACTGTGGTCGTGGAGTGTTTCCTAAACAGATGGCTCATATTGTCCCTTGTTGGGGGAGGATGACAGGCTGTCCCTGCTCAGGATATCGCCATGTTTCTGTCTGTTCTAATTGATGAAGTGGAACCTTCTTAGTGGAAGATAAAGCTCATTTAAGAAAGCCCTTGACTTTACAGGATAAAGGCAGCATCTCAGAAACACACTGTTTATGTGCATGTAGATTATTTGACTGAGAACCAGGCAACCTGGTTCTAGTTCCAGCTTTGGCCCTAGCTAGCTCAGTGGCTTTAGGCTGGTTAAGTTGACTGCCTTCCACTCCTCTTCCTCAGTAAGAGGATGATTGGAAGCTAAATGGTTTCTAAAGCCTCTTCCAGCTCTATGGTCAGTAATGTCAAAGATGTGTCTGGCATTGTTTTATTTATACTCCATCTGATAGCTTCTCTGTTCAAGCTGGGTCAGGCCCACTGCTTTGCTTAGGCTTTCCAGCCCTTACATGCCAAACATGATAGATGGACACTACAACCCTGAGGGTCTATGACAGATAACTGGAACACTTCTGGGAGCCTGGAGTAAGGGGATGGGAGTGGGGAGGTGCAGGGCAAAACAGCTGATAGATAGAGGGAGAGAGTAGGAAAGGAGTGAAACAATTGACCACTTTCCCTGCAGCAATAACAGTCACTCAGAAAAGATGTAGGAAAGGTGAATAGGGGTTTCTAAAATGTTAATTGTGTGCCCATCTTGTGTCCAACTCTTTATAGCTATAAATCATGTCATTCCCTACTGGCCATTTTTAAATTGCTCCTGGTTTCATAGAGGAGGATTACATCCTTGGTATGGTTTAATAGGTCCCTCATCCCCTGGTCCTACATATCTCTTTATCTGTCATTTTCCTTGGCACATCCTACACCCTGGTGTGCTAGAACTGGTGTGCTAGTACTGGTTAGTATCGGCAATCGTTCACATTTCTTCTTTCCTCTCTGAATTCAGTGATATCGTGTTGGTAGCTTGAAATCAGCTATGGCAGGAGTTTTTACACCACAGAGACTAACAGACATTACGAAGCAGTGCTTTTTTTCCTAGACACTCTGTTGTTAAAATTTACCAGCACACAGCACTGCCCCCACCTCACCAAAAGACTTGCAGTTCCTACAACAGAAAGTTGTCCTACACATCTCTCTCTGTTTGGCTTGCCGTTCCCTATTTCTGAGAGTTCATCTGTCCCCCCATCCTCTCTCTTTCTCTTCTTCTCTCCCTCCCTTCCATCTAAGCTACCACCCACCCATCTATCCAGAGGTAGCCAGACTCGGTTCTAATTTCTCCTCTGCCACTTACTAGCTGAGTGAGCGACTCTGGGATAATTTCCTGACCTCTACTATGCCTCAGTGTTCTCTATGGAAAGTGGGTGTAACAAGAGGTTCTTGGGAGGCTTACATGAGTTAACATGTATAAGGGGCTTTGAATCGTGTCTGGCACATGTGAAGTATTATTTAAGTCTTTGTTTTTAGACATGATCACAACATCATTAATTCCTCACTGTGTGCCCAGCACTGACTATGAACATGTGAAAAGAGGTTCAATAAACCAAGCACAAGAAAATGTTCAAGAGCCCGAACAAAGCCTGGTTAGTTTTCCCAGAGATATCGGAATGGATTTCATGGAGTCAGGGGCATTTGAACTGAATCCTGAAAAGATTGCTTACATCTACCCATCAAACTGGCACGATGGACAGAGGCATCCCAGGGGGAGGGAAGTCACGTGAGCATAGACCCGAAACGGGGACCAGCATGACATGTTTGAGTTTTGTGTAGCTGAGCATGAGATCACTGAGGCAGAGGGAGGGGGTCTTTGATCATATTTGGGTTATGGCAAGATCCTTGGGGAAGTAAGCGACAGTGTCCGCTTAGCTCTGCCTTTCTGTTGCCTGCAGCAGTATGAGTCGGATTTTCCCAAAATCCAAAATAGTCAGAAATCCAGATTTTTTTAATGTGAAAGCTCCTAATGGTTAATGGTGAAATTAATTCAATTAAAAACAAAACATAGCCACCGGCTATCTTCAGCCTCATGCAGAGAATGGAGCTCTAGGTAACAAGCTTGTGTAAAGAGATGACCTGCAGTTGGAATTCCTGATTTTGACTATGATTCTGCCCTTAGCTGTATTAACACAGGTGAGAGTCCCTTATGCTCTCTGAGCCCTGGTTTTCTTGTCCTATATACCTTGCTGAGAGCAGCCTTTTAGACCACAGAGATAAAAGCCATTGCAAAGGACCAGATACGCATTAGAATTATTCGTAGGCCCCACGTCCTGTGGCAGAGCCAAACTCTCAGTACAGCCCCAAGCCTGATTTGAGTCACATTTGATACTCGAATGTCCTCACCCACCTTTTTAATTTTAACAATAGATGGCGGGAGAGAAATGTGCAAGTGTTTGTTTCCCTTTATTTCTGTTAAAAACATCACAAGGAGCTTTGCATTCCATTTTGAAAGTCTGTATGTCAGAGATCCAGCTAAGAGTTCTTGATTGCTTCTGTATGGATCCAAGATCACGGGGAAAAGTTGCACTCAGCCTCGATATGGTGTGTGTTCATTATTTCTTCGAGGTGCGGGAGGATTTTCTGAGAAGTCAGCCCCACTAGATGTTGGTCTAGGTCATTTCAAAATCTGTACCTGTGTTTTGTGTACTTTGCCTTCTTTTGATCCCTTTCCATTCCAGGCTGGCTTTGATCATGCAGGCTTTTAAGGAAGTGATCAAGCCTTAGAAGACTTGAATTATTTCTAGTTGAAGGGCTGAGCTTGGTGGGTGTTGGCTTTCACACAGCAAAGAGGTGGATATGCACCCAGCCTACTCCAGCAGGCACGGTTAAAAGCACTGTGTAATTGCAGCTTTGCAAAAACCTCAGGCTTATTATAAGACATTGAATCTTGGTGTAATTCTGATTTTGTATTATCTTTATGTGTTTAGTTGTATTGCCTGATTGAACTTGATCATGAGAAGCTTCATAGATGCAAGCAGGCCTTGAAGTAAGAATACCTGACTTACAGAAGCACATCAGTTATGGATTTTGGCCCCACTGCGGAGATATAGCCACTCCTGCTTCAGGAGCTTACCTGAGCCTTAGGGTCTAGGTCACACTCCTCCAGCCCCAAGCCGCCTGGACCCTGAGGTATCTGATGCTGCTGTAGCTTTCGTTCCCTATTGGTGTCTGGGGCCCTGTCCCCCCAACCACTGCAGGAGCTAAACCCCAGAGGAGCCAAGATCCCACTCTTCTGAGATGGATTGGAAACACTTAGGTCCATTGAATTAACATTATAGGCAAAATGCACATTTGATGTTAAGTAGGCGTTGAAGCCCTAACTTTTAAGATGATGATATTTGGAGGAGAAGCCTTTGGGAGGTAATTAGGTTAAGATGAGGCCACAAGGGTGGGACTCCCCTCATGACGGGATTAGTGTCCTGATAAGAAACACCAGAGAGCTTTCTTCCTCTCTTTCCACTCACACGCAGTAGAAAGGCCATGTGAGGATACAGCAGGACACGGCTATCTGCAACCGGAGGACAGAGACTTCACCAAACATTGACCATGCTGGCTCCTTGATCTTGGACTTCCAGTCTCCAGAACTGTGAGAATCAAATTCCTGTTCCACCTAGCCTATGGTATTTTGTCATGGCAGCCTGAGCTGAATAATATAGGAGGTTACTAGAGGTTAGCTCAGGTACCCAGCCACCTTGTGAAACATCTCTTTGAGGATAGAGGTGCCTGTTTTTACACCACTGTATCTGATGTTCACCACCAGCTTGGCACACAGTAGGCATTCAATAACTGCTTGTTGAATGAATGGATGAAGTGAAAAGCATCCAATTTATAAACAAGCATTTGGAAAACAATTCACTCCAGTGTTGGGGATTCCCTGCAATCATGGTTTGAGATAAAGGAAAAACAAATAGTTTTAGAGTACATTGTGTATGTGAGTATAGATAGATAGATAGATAGATAGATAGATAGATAGATAGATAGATATATGTATGTATATATTTATCACCAAGCTGTTAACAGCCTGAACTTTTTTTTATTAGCTCACCCCATGGAGACGTAATGATAGTAAAATAAATACAGTCAGCATGGTTTTCTATTTACCCAGCATGTAAGCGAATGACTGCTTTTAAGCATTTGCAATTTCATTAAGGTCTCCTAGAACTATCTTCCATAAAATGATGCTGAGTTGGGCTGCTCACCTACCAAAACCTAATTAACTTAAGTTTAGCAAAATAAAAAAGTCACGTATTTGTAAGAGAATCATAGCACCTCTGAGGTCCCTTTTCATTTTAAATCCCCAATGGGTAGGTTGCCATAGAAGGATGTGATTTTGCTGAAAATAAATAAATAAATAAATTAATTAATTAATTAATTAATAGAAATGGTGGCTTTAGGGTTCTTTCTTATTCCTCTGAGAAATCCTTCCAACACTACAAAGATTTTGCTCTGTGGCTTTTGCCATTTGAGAATGGGGAAGCGATTTCCTCAAGATGCTATTCATCTTTATTCATATCTAGGTGGAGATGAGTTCAGAATATGTGGGTGTGGGATTTGAAGAGTCTGAAGTGCTTAGGTAACAGTTGGCATGCCGGTTGTGTGATGAAGAATATGTATTGACAATATTAAATTGTGGGCTGAATTTTGGTTTTGGTATTTGAAAAAAAAAGAAAGAAGAAGAACAAAATTTCCAAAAACGACGACGTTGTTTTTATGCTGGGGTGTTTCTTAATGTTGGGACAACAGTGCTGAGAAAACCGGGCCTCCAATATGCATCACTTTCTTCTGCCTGGTCTCGTTTTCCTGTGTAAGCACCACATAGCTTTCTTTTTAAGTGGAAGGTGCTGTAGTGTTTCTAAATATACATTCATATTGTACTCAACTGACAGAGGGAAAGAGCTTCAGTAATAACAGACAAGATTTTAATTCACTTTTCATATTGAAGGTGGAAGAATCAACTGGTTTCTAGAAAAATTAATGGTAATTTATTGAATTACTAGGAAGTTTCGTCTTGCTTCCCAGGCTCCAAAACCTCTGAAGTCATCATCAACGTCTAGGGCTTTCTCATGTGAAATCGTGCACCATGACTTGTATTAAAGAGTCATATTCCTTTCTCTACTTATTTCCTTTATGCTGATAACAATAGAAAAGGAATACAGAGAAACCTTCTTTCTACTCAACTGTGGGTGGAGTGGGATGTGTGAGCATGACTGTGACCAGTGCGAAGTAACGTTTGTGGATTAAACATGTTTAGGTATCTCCAGTTAAAAACACATGGAGAGTCAGAGTCCTAGATTAGTAATATCATGCCTGGGTCCGAGGGTTTTAATCATTTCCCCTTTTGGCAGTCTAAAGACACCTATGTCACCCTTCTTATTTTTTAAAATGTAAAATTAATATACTTTTTAAAAATTTAAGTTAAATGTAAAAGTTAAAGTACATAGGATTACAAAGAACAACAACAAAAATACACAAAACACTGATTCTCACAAAACTTCAAATGTTTTGCATGACCTATATCACTACCCAGTCTGTCAAATATATTTTTAAGAATTACTTTAAATAATGCACTTTAATAGTTAATTTACCCATCAGTTGCTTTTGAACTTGCCTGTTCTAGACCTGTAGCCCACATGCTTATTGTATTTCAAAAGATAATGTTAACTTATGAGAATTAAAAACATTCTCATTTCAACTGTCCAGTTTTGCAAAACTGTAGCAAATAATTTAAATGTCTGATTTCTTTCTGTGCATCCATGAAGAACAGACAAGTGTAGGTAGGGAAGACCATCAATCATCCTAGCGGTCTGGATCACTAGCTGAGAAATGCACATGCCCCCTTTGTGACTGAATGGCTCCCAGATGAGAAGGTGACCAACAGTTGCCTCTATATATTATGAGATGTTATAGTCAGAAGAATTAACTCTCCTGATTTTAAAGTCATAATGTATATAAATGATACTTAAGGATTTTTGGAACAACTTTGTTGTCACCTGAAAAACAGCTGTGATTTTTATTGGTGACATCAGAGGTACTGATAATAGTAATGTAGCCTGTTCCTTCCTTGCCTTTAAAATGAAAGGAAATACCAAATTCCCATTGGAGATCAGTGGGGAAAAAAAAAGGGAAAAGGCCTTCCGCAGTTGTGGATCCCCTGCATTCCAGCCATGGCCACACTGGGGACCATGGACCCCAACTTAAAAACCTGTCTCAAAGTGCGAGTCAACACACCTGATAATGTGGAGAATTACAAAGCAGTGTTCAGACAGATGAGACCCATAAAAGGGATTATGAAAGAAGGTCATTTTCTGTCTGATAACTGATGTAACAGACACGCCAGAATTCAACCTAAAGAGTGTGGTTGGCTTCAAAACTGGCCCTTTTGGAGAGAGATGCTGGTGCCTTTATTCAAAATAGTGCTGGGGCTTCTTTGAGAGGCGGTGATACAATGTTTTGAATATTCTCATCAAGGTCACTTCTCAAACTGGAATGGGTCTGGTGTTTTGAAATAAGCCAAAGTCAGTTGAAGGAAGGCTGCTGAATGTAGAGGGTGATCAAGGTGTGTAGACACCAGATGGGGGCTGGAAAATCCTAAGGCTTCTTTTTGGAAGAGGCTCATCAGCTACACTGAAGGCTGCTTCATAGTGGGTAGAGGAAGGAAGGCATGAGATCCTGAGAAGATTGCATTTCCCAAAGGAGAGCACCCTTGGATGCAGCCTCCAGTACTCTGGGGTGACTATAGAGGGACTCTCTTTTCCCCCTATAAAGTAACATTCCAAGGTGGCTTCAAAATATCTAGTGACAACATTCGATAGTCACATTCAATACATTCTTAAATAGAACTGCACTTTCCCGTAGAAATATGCTAGCTACCTATGTAATTTTAGATTTTCCAGTAGCTACATTAAACACATAAAAAGAAAAACGGTAAAATTAATTTTAATAATATGTTTTATTTAACCCACTGTATCTAAAATTATCACTTTTACATATAATCAAAGTAAAATTTATAAATTTCTTTCTCATATTGAGCCTTTGAAATCCAGTGTGTATCTTATTCATACAGCACATTGCACTTTGGGCGCTGAATTTTCATCAGAAACATTTGACCTAGAGTTCATAAAATTTACAGTTGAAAAAACAGATTTACATATCCAAGTTCTTTCCAATATACTGAACCGTTTTCCAATAACTGAATCAAGTATTAGTTTTTAGATTTAAATTTATCACAAAATTAAACGTTCATCTCCTCAGTCTCACTAGCCTCATTTCAAATGCTCAGTAGCCCCATGTGACAAGTGTCTGCCATAAGTGCAGGTCTGAAGTATATGGGGAAACAGCTGGAAAGGGATTCATAGGTGCAGTGTGGACAGTTAAACTGGAAAACTGGAAAAATGAAAGGGAGATGCTTGTCCTTCCAGTTGTTTTGTCCTTTTTATGAATCATTTTTTTTCATCTGTTAATCCAGTATTTTTCCAAAAGTACCCTATGTTCTCCTTAAGATCTTTGATATGGCCTCTACCTCAAAAGGCCTTCTCTTCTGTGTATTCATCATTTACATCCAGAGGCACCATGTGGTCTCTGCTTCACAGGTGGAAGGCTCAGGGATGCGTTTAGATGATGAGATGAAGACAGGAAGTTCATGTTCTTGTCCCAGGTCCTTATGACCAAGCAGCTGAACCAGAGAAGTCTCCTGACTTAAGCCACCTGGATACCCATCACATGCACAGCACCTCTGCTGCTAATTCTGAAGATTTGGGGTGGGACCCAGGAAACTGCATTTTTATCAAGTCTTCTTTGCTCTCCCCACCTCTTCCCACCATGTAATTTGGAACACCTAATTTAAGAACTACTGTGCTAAGCACCCCTTCACCCACTCTATTGTTTTTGCGAGTGGTTCATAAGGTGTGATCTGAGGACCCCTTCATCAGAATGCTGTGACTTGTGAAACGGAAGCATTCTAGGCCCTGCTCCTAACCAGCTAAATCAGAATATCTGAAACATCCATATAGGCACAGGATCTCTGTGGCACTAAGAATATGCATTTTTAACAAGTTTCCTAATAATTCTCATGCCTCGTAGATTTTAAAAGCTTTAAACTTTCTGCAGAATTTTTCAATCCCAAGCTTTCTCATTCATTCTCTTTCCCTATGTCTGACATTTAGAAATGCGCAATGTTGTATTTATTCTGCCTCTCCTGTGTTCAGGTCATTTGACAAACATCCATTTGTTCCAGAGACTAGGGATACAAAGATATAGATCATGAGATACTGTCTCTGACTTCATAGAGCTAGCAGACATAGGAGGGGGAGACAGATCTGTGGAATCTGAGTTTGTAAAGCATTGCAGTGCTGGGTGCAGTTAGGACATGAAGACAAGTGGCATATCCACCTGGGTTGTGAGTTGGTGAGAATGGCTTGAAAAGGGCTTCAGACACCCTGGGTTGATTAAGATAAAACTGACATTCCATTAGACAGGAGGGAAAGGACACCTGGAGACTTAGTTTGAATTACGGTGAGAACAGGGAAGCAGAGCTATTATGAATGACATGGAATGATGGATTTACTATAGGGATCAGTACAGATTTGTGGGAGCTGCTTGGGATGCAGAGGTCTGGCAGGGCCCAGGTGGAGCAGCGGAGAGAAATCACTCAGCAAGGACCATGAAGGGAGCTGATGTGGAGGTCAACAAAAGACATCTCTGTCGTTGCTGCTGGTGGTGGACCTGATGTTGCTCTAGGTCAGCAGGGCTCAGAGAGGAAAAGTCAGGACTGATGCAAGGGGACGCAAGGATAACCAGCACCTGGGAGGATGAACTGAAACCTGTGCCTGTAGAAGGACCAGGTGCCCTTTGCCCAGGAGCTGCTCACACACTCCGAAACTGAGGATCGGAGCCATGTGGGAGCTGGCTGAGCTGTGGGCCCACCTCTGCCCTCCCCAGGGAGGTTAAGTTAGATGATCTGTGACAATGCGTGAGAGCTGTGGTAGAGCTTTCCATGTGCATTGCTGATGGGTCACTTCTGCTTCCAAATTTCACACAGATTTATATTGCAGACAACCTTAACTTGAACGCCACAGGGAAGGGAATTCCAGAAGATGTGCTCAGATGGAGCTAAGTCAACGCAATGCAAAACCACTACAGTTCGCTTAGGAAACTTGTGCTGGAGGTGGCTGGATGGGGCAAAGGGAGTCTTGGGTTGGGAGCATGAGGTAGTAAGGCGGGGTGTCAGCCCTTTTGAGGAGATAAAGCAATAAATGGCCTTAAGTTTCTTGCTTAATATTAGGAACTTTATTCTCTGGATAGCAATGGATTATAAATGGAGGGGTTAACATGATAACGTGAGCTTTCTTTAAGAAAAGAGCTCAAGCAGTGGTTCTCAAATGTTCTGGTGTCAAAAACCTTTTGATGCTCAACAATTACTGAGGATTCCAAAGAGTTTTTGTTTCTGTGGGTTACATTATCCATATTTGCCATATAAGAATTTAAATTTGAGAAATTTTAAAACATGTTTATTAACTCAAAAAACCCATTACATGTTAACATAAGAACATGTTTTTATGAAAAAGAATTTGTTTTCCAAAACAAAAATTCAGTGAGAAGAGCCTTACATTTCTGCACATCTCTTTTATGTCTGGCTTAGAAGAAGACTGTTTGATTCTCAAACCTGCTTTTGAATGCACACTGTTGTGATATCCTGTGTCAGAAAGCCTTTGGAAAACTCTGCTCTACACTTGTGATAGAATAAGGGTAGAAAAGGCAAATGATGTCTTTAGTATTATGTTACAGTATAATGAAAATAGTCTATATGATGTGTCCAGTCAAATCATGTCTACAGTATGAGAGAAATAGTTTTGTCCCCGTGGATCCCCTGTAAGGTCCCAGGGACCTCCAGGAACCATTGGTATAGAGAGTAGCTTGCTGGGCAGGCAGCCCATAGGAATACAGGAAGGAGACCTTGTAACAGTGTTAGGGAGGAAAATGAGGGCCTTCAACAAGTCATATCAGCAGGGAAGGAGAAGTGAGGTGGAGGAGAAAGATGCTCAGGAGACAGATGCCACAGAACTTAGTGACCAATGGGATGTGGGGATGAAAGAGAGAATGTCCTAGGCCAATGGATAGCTGGATACCCGCAGCTGCCAGTAAAGGCATGGGGTGTTTCTCAACCCTCCCTGAGCCTGCCAGGTCTTCTGCTCCACAAAAGTTTAATCTGAGATGGAAAGAAGGTGGAAGGTCCAGCCCTAGAATGATTATCTGGAGGTCTAAAGCTGACTTTGTATACTATGATCACACATTGGATTTCGGATGGGCGGAGTTACTAAAAGAATTGGAGTGTGGGCTGTCCCAGGCTGCATGGTTCACATATGCAGGGACACAGGGAAAGATGGCTGCTAGGTGAGTAGCAAAGATGACAAGGGTGAGGTTTGGATGAGGCAGGGTGAGATAGTGGAGGGCTTCTCTGAGGAGACGATCGACCATTAAGATCACAAAGATGAGTATTTTATTTTAAATGGCTCTGCTATTTATTCCTAATTCCCTCAGCCTTTGAGTTTGCTCCAGATGTCAAGGTCAAGGATCTTTGAAGCCTGACTATTGTGCTGGGCTGCCACAAGATCCTGTGTTTCTGGCGTATTCCATGCCAAGTGACTACAGAGTGGGCCGCCAATGTATGGGTGTGCTCTTGTTCTCCTGTTCTCTTGTTGATGAATGCAGATGTGCTCTGTGCACTTTTCATCTTTATGTTGGGCGTTTAAGAAACTTTAATCCAAAAGCCACAGAAAGCTCATCATTTGCTCATACTCACACATGGTGATGAAAGTGGGTTATTGTCCTTGAATAATGCTGCAAGGAAGACTTCCAACCAGCAATTTTCAATAATGCCACATTGGCACCCCTCTGAATTACTATCTACTTTTGCTAATTCAATATGACAGGTTTCTAAAGCAATTTGAGTTCATGCAAAAGCAGTGACAGAGAGAGTATTCAAACTTGCTTGAAGGAGGGTGGGGAAAGAACTTCTGTTGCATTCTCCTTGTAACACAGATCAAGATCTATTTGGATTCATTTCCTGGAGGCATTAAATATATTTTTCTTTTTTTTTTCTTCTTTTTTGCAGTCACCTTTTCAGTTACATCTAATAATTATATTCTATCTGCAGTGCTTGCATTTACCCCAGAGTGTAGAATCCATCAGCTATTCTCCAGCCCAGAGGCCACCAAGGATAGGAAGTGGAAACAATATTTCTTAGCATTAGAGAAATGCCAATTTTTAAAACCAGGCCAACTCTATGCCCTCATATAAAATCACTCACAAGATGGGCTGGCAGGTAAAAAGGATCCGACGTAGGATTCAGAATATCTGTGTTCCTTCTATTTCCCTTACTTCCACCTGAATGAACCAAGCTGGCCTTCCAGATGGTGGGGTGTGGGCCAGGCAGTATGGTATAGTATAAAACGAAAGGATTTAGAGTCAGAGAACCTGTTTTAAGTCCCAGCTCCATCACTTATGACTGTGAACTTGGCTCAAGGCCTGGCCCATTGTAAACTTTCAACAAATAGGAGCCTCATTTACTTCTTCTCCTCTGTCTTCTTTCTTTATACATGGTCATGCACACTCAAGTAGGGAGTTTCTTACCGTTCTCTCCCTCAGCTCCAGTCAGTCATGCTGGCCTTCTTTCTGTTTGTAGAACATAGCTAGCATATTCCTGCTTCAAAGCTGCTGAGCTCACACTTCCTTCTGCTTGATTTGCCCCTCCCTTAGATCTCCCCATGGCTTGCTACTCACTTTTAGTTCTCAGCTCAAATGCCACCACTAAAGGCAGCCTTCCCATCTGAGATAACTCTCTAACCCAACACCCTGATGGGTTTTCCTCAGGACTCCTCTCACTACCTTATGTTATCTTGATGATTCATTTGTTTGTTTTTATTATCTGTCTTGCCTCTCAACCCTCAGCTTCATGGAAGCAGAAGCTTTTACTATTGCTGGTATACCAGCATCTAGTACATACGAGTTGCTCAATAAATATTTGTTGCCTGGAAGGTAGTGGGACCTCCATGAGAGATGACAGAGCCTTGCATGACTGTTCTGAAGGTCAGATGATACAGGTTTTTGAGAATGCTTTGTAAAGAGTTTGCAAATAACATTTAATAAAGCTTCCCCACCTCATCCATGAAGCACTCCTTCCCATTACCTCAGCCTGAAGTATCTTCTTCACATTCTTGCAGCATTTTCTGTAAAACTCTGGCATTTCTGACACCTGACTTAACTCCTGATACATCTCATTGGCAGGCATTTCAAATGAAACCTGGAGGAAATTGCAGCAAGATGAAAAATCCTCCAGCTTGGAAATTGGTTCTCAGCAAACAGTTTACAGATGTAAGTACACAGAGTAGGCAGCATTTAAACAATGCCCAGCATGAGAAGGCGACTCTTAAGAACTCATGCTACACACGGCTTCCCTCTGCCAAGTGTGGCTTAAAGAAAATGGCATCATACACCTGGTTGGGGGGAGGCAGGAAATAAATGCAGAGGGTTCAAGTTGGAGGCAGGCACAATGGTGCCACGACCATGGCCCGTTTTTGTTGCTTGTGTGTTTCTTCAAGACAGCAGAGCTGCGATGGCAGAGGACCGTGCTGATAATGAGCTGTCAGATGCATCTTGCCCATGGATACTAGGATTGTTATTATTTTTTTCATCTACCCACCTTTGTGGCAAAATTTCAACCTTTACTATTTATAACCTTTCCAGGCTTCAATCAAGTTGTAGTATGTTGGCTTTGAAAGAGCTTGATTTCAATTGTGGAGGGAAAGAAAGAGGGGGTTTCTGAAATCTCAATCCATTATTCATGATGTTTAGAAAGATGTGGTTTTTTTTGTGTTTTTGGTTTTTTTTTTACAAGTGGGAAAAATCTTCCTGACAGACTAAATCAGGCAGCAAAGTGTGTTGATTTCAGAGGGTGAAACCCCTCCCTCGTTGCCACCGTGTAGATTCACTATGCAAGGGTGCTGTGCCTTTCTCCCTCCCCACTTTCTCTCCGTTTCTCCAGGAGATTAAAAGGGTTTTTTTAAGTGTCAGTGGAAATTGAAATTTCTAGTTTAAGAAAATAAAACCAAACCTTGAATTTGGGAAAAACTGCTTCACCTGTGGCTCTCACCATGGCAAGTCTCCAGCTCTTTCTTGAAGTGTAAGGAATTTGGTAAACCTGTGGTAAACGTCCAGCCTGGTTTCTTTTCTCTCCTCCCCAGAGGACCAGATTCCTGCACACATCTCCCAGGACAAGGAGCCTGTTTGTTAAACTCCCAAGAGAAATCCTTACAAAAATCCTCATGTCTAGTGAAAAAAATGAAAGTATTATAGCACAAGGATTTTGATGCAAAAATATTTCAATTATATTATTTTTAATTCTCAATTTCAGTGACTTAAAGAATGAATGATTGCAACATCAAATTTGTAATCTGGACTATGCCTTAAAAGCAGCGCATTAGTGGTAATAAAGATAAATAGACTATCGATGCTCTCTGAAACTTACATTTCTCTCTTAAGGCAATTCACAAATAAGAACAGGGCACTTTTCTCTTTTGGAGAAGTGAAGCTTTCTTGGAGGGAGCTTTTATTTAAAGAGGAGAGGTGAATTAATTACCACAAGAGAAATCACAAATTAAGTGCAGCCCTGAAATACAACTCATTCAGAGGATTTAAACACACTTTTTTTTTTTTTAAAGCTACTTACGTTTTCAAGAAAAGAACTAGAAGTAGGAGGTGGAGCTCAAATTTCTAAAGGGGTCCAAGGATTTCACATTGTGTCATCTGACTCAAGGCCAGGCTGACCCAGAGAGGACCAACCACCAGGCAAAATTTTCTTGGAACATTACACAATTGATTCTTTCACCTGTGTGCTTGTTTTTAAAGATGAAAAGCTCCCACTGGCTTTTGTGGGGAAACTAACATTTGAGCTCTAATGTTCAAAGAGCATCTTTTGACTCTCTGACTCCTCTATCCTGTTTCTCTGGGAACTTTAGTTCAGAACATGTCATCTTTACTCCAGAACACGACATCAACAGATTGAAGAGAACGTCCCTAGAAGCCAGTTGTGTGACGATTTTCCCCAGGCCCTTATCTTCATAGTCCCCATATTAAAAATAACTTTAAACTCTGAGTTTTAGTTTCGTGATATTTGACCTAAGGTCATACATTCCCATTATATTTGAAGGAGAATTTTCTCAATTTGGGTCTCTATTACTTTATGCCTGTACCCAAATTTGCTCCTTCTTTACCCCTTCTCTCTACCTCAGCAATTGCTTCATGTTATCACCAGATTCATCTTCCTAAACTACCTCTTTGAGCTGGTTACTTCCTTGCTTAAAGCATTTGGTGACTCTCAGCTGTCAATGAAGTCGAATTTCTTAGCCTGACATTCAAGGACAACCATGGCCCCATTCTCCTAATATTTTTTCCTGGTGCATCTCAGTGCTCATGATGGACTTTATTCAAACTACCGATTGACTTTGAGCATACTCTGCATTGTCTAGCCCTTGAAGTAGTCTCTACTGAAGACTTTCTCCCTCCTCTTCCTCTTTACTTATCCTGTGCTATTGCATCCTTTCAATACCCGGGTCAAATACTAATGCAGGAGTTTTCCTTGACCACCTCTGATTAAAGTAATCTCTTCTTTTAAATAACCTTGTATCTCTTTAATTTATCTGCTCTCATTTTTTGGGGGGGGGATGGGGGTTGCCTTTTATAAGCTATGTCCAAGACTATATGTCTTAAGGTCCAAGACCATGTGTCATAACTTAGTGTAACCCATTCACACCCTAGCTTGCCATGTTACACATAATAGGTATTCAGCAAATACCTGGTATTTGCTCTCAAAAGTGAGGTAAGGCTGTTTCTAATAAACAGGAAGTCTGGGTGACTCCCATTTCTATGGGAGTCAGATAAGCTTTTCTATTGAGCCTCAGCAGCCATGTCAGATCATTTTACGTTCAGAATATGGGCTGTTATATCCAAAGTCTGAAAGACCAGTGAGGGAGAGCGTGAAACACATTTGGAAGAGGGAGCATGCTAGATCTGGAAATGAGGAGAGAAGGGTCACCCAGCTCACCCCATCAATGGCATAGCTAGGGTAGGGCAGTGAGAGTAGCTTACCGTGGGGGCAGGCCGTAAGAAGGTGCATAGAGAATTTAAAACTATCAGAAAACCAACTAAGAGCTGTTCTGCTTCTTCTTATCACCAAACACTAGCATTTCTAAACGTCAGTGGTATAATACTCTTTTCTTCCACAAAATATCTGTTACTGTGGTTACTATTAAATTTTAATGATACACATACAGCTCCAAATTAGATGATGATGATGATGATTAAATAAATGCTGTATTCTGCATGGAAGTTAATTCGGAGAAGTCCTCGTTATGCAGCCTGGCACACATGGCCTCAGTTATCCACTCGAGAAGGACAGAACAGCCCAGAGATCCTTCTTTTGCATCAGGTACAGCCCATGTCTCCAGCCTCCATGGCACCATGTCTTCTTGCATTTAAATAGTTCAGATTCAAAATAACAAATGGAGCAGAATGATTGTAAAAGTGAAGCAACCTTGTGTTACATTAATTCTGTCATTCTCTGTGACCACTTGTGTTTTTTGTTGATGTTTAACTTTTGGATACTTCAAAAGTACATGATTTCATTTGGTGAGTGCACGTTGTAGGTTATGCATGAAGCATATTTGTTTCATTTCATGATTATCACGGAAAACCATTTTTTCATTTGGAGGGGGGCTATGTTAAAAGTGATTCTGTGTGCTAAGGATCCCTGTGCATCAGATGTGCTTGTTTTACTGAAGGACAGTTTCCAAGGACTCCAGTCAAGGCTCTACATAAAGGTCACCTTCTTAGAGAGACTTTCTGTGATCAATCATCTGAGATTTGTGATCATGCCCCTACCCCTACCCACCCCACTCTTCATCATTCTTATCTCAGTTTGTTTTTCTCCATAGCACTTATCACCCCCTGACATATTATACGTGTGTGTGTGTGTGTGTGTGTGTGTGTGTTTCTGTTCACTTGTTAGTATTTATTTCCTCTGCTAGCCTCAAGTTCCATGGGTCAAGAAATTTGCTTCATCAGTGCTGCACCTGGACACCTATAAGAAAACTTGGCAGGTAGTCAGTGCAAAATACATATTTGTTGAGTGAATGGGTGAATGAATGAATGAGAGAAGCATCATAATGTATCTCATAGAGACCTTTCATTTATTTTCTTCTCTCTGGAGCCCATCTAAATAAACGTTCACATGGGTTACAGAAGTACCTTTCTGCCTCTCCCAAAGAACATGGTTTTCTTGAAGTAGATGGAAAATTGCCCCAAGTTCCTTACCTATCCATTCAGCCTGCAAACCTTACCATGTATTGAGCATTTACTATAGCTAGGCCCTTTAATAGGTATGATCTCAATGAACTCTCAAAAAAGGCCATCTTATAGATGAGATAGTGACAGTACTCATGTGATCATCTGGGCCTGCTTTGTCCCCAGGACCAGCAAGAAAGGACAGCTTGGGCTTGTGAGGCAGAGCCCAACCCTTTGTGGCATCCCCTCCACTTCTCACAGCCTCTGCTGCTTTGGCACTTGCTCTTGCCAGCATATGCTGCCAGGAAGTGTTAGGTGTCATTGCACAGCTGTGAAGTGGGGTGGAAGAGAGAAGCAAAAGGAGAAGCATGGAAGAGCCAGGGAACTAAATGCAAGGCTTCAAGGGGCAGAAGAACAGTGTCAGCTCAAATTCTGCAAAAATAAAGGTCCTCTGGGGGAAGGATGCATAGGAATTCCTTAGTCCAAAGTCAACTGTGCACAAGGAAGACAGGCCATTTCGAAGGTCTACATGCCGAGTGTGCCCCTGCAAAGTTACATATTATTTTTCGTCTCACTCTTTGAATTACTCATCCCACAACCCAACTATTTTTTTTAAACAATCCGTAGATGTTTTAGGGACTTAAAGTAAAAAAATTTTAAAGTACATACTTTTTAATTTGAAAGTTTAAAATTCTACTAAGAAAGTTATAATAACATAACAAAACTATAACACTAAGGAAAGTAAACAGACTATGTCTCTAAATTTTATGGTACTTCAAAATATTTTCAAATTTTTTCTGCCTTCCCAGTTCTGATCTATATGCATAGATCTTTTTATTATAGCATAAGCCTTTATCTTTATGGGCTGGAACCTGTTTCTGGAAGGAGTTCTTCTCACTGCTACCAGTGCAAGGCATTGCCAAGGTCAAGGAGAAGGTGAAGGGATGACAGTGCCCCCTGGTAGATTCACACTCAGGGAGAGGTCACCACCAAACCAGAGGCTGGGCTTGTGAGATAAAAGAATAAACAAGGTG